AAACAGGATAAAAAGGGGCATCTGACCCAGTGAATTTGTGCCACTCCACCTGGAACATGGGGGACAGCGCTGCTCAGCAGTCCCAGCGCCAGCGCTGCAGCATCCTCGACGGGAACACTGCTGCTCAGCCAGCGGGCCCCATGCTTTAGGCCTTTCTTTTTTTATTAAAATAAATGCTAAAATCACTTTTAGTACCGGGACTCTGGTCCCGTTTATAACAGCTGATATAAGTATGCTTGTGTTAAAATGCCTGTTTGGATGGGATAACAGCCAACGAATATATGGACACCTGCTCCAGATACGCCAACTATCAGCACTCACCATCTGAAAACAGTGTGGACCAAGGCCCAAAAACTGGAGGTGATAAGAATGGACTAAAACCACAGCCAAGGAACATGCATGCTCTAAAAAGGTGGACCCAAGAAGATTTGCTAAATAGTTCATTTAGGAACATGTAAACTAGTTTTGGAAAAAGTTTACTATGCATAAGGGACTTACGAATATGCAAGAAGCTTATGTAAAGGAAAAGGGGTATCACAGTATGGATTTGCCTGAGTGCCAAGATGCACCTGGCCCATAATAACTTTTGCTCTATAGTCCTTGTCTCCTATTGTCCTTTATTAAACTTTTTAAATTATCACAGAAGAGTGAACGTGTTTTTCACATACAAAAGGATCTACCCGTTCATTATTCCAATTCCTATAGATTATGTTCAGCACAGTTAATTCTCTCAGGTACTGGATGCCTTTTTCCATAGCATTCCACCTGCTTGGGTGCACTACTAGATCATGCTTGATCTCGTACCTTTCCTTCATGCTTGACAGGAGTCACCTCCAGGGTCTGAGTTTCTGTCCTCTTCCCAATCCTCTTGTCAGTGCCCACATCCCAGAGTCAGGGATCCCAGTTGCCCGGCTTTACTGCTGTCTGCTGTACATCGTGGGCTGCAATATCCCAGGATGAGGCCAGGCAGGGGCCCTCCTGACTGCTGGCTGAAATCTTCTTGTGCAGCCCACAGCTCACCCAGGGATAGAAATGGGGTGATTATCTCTGGCCCAGCCTCTTCCTCCTGTTACTGCTTGCTCCTCATGTCTTCCTGTGTGAACTGATTTGATCTTGGATTTCTTCTGTGTAGGGGCAACTGCTACTGTCACCTAAACTGTGGGAAAAACTAAAACTATCCAACATTTTTAGTGTTAGATAATCAAGACATTACTTCTGGCCAAGATGTGCAACATAAATAATTTAATGACACAAGAATTTCACCAGATTTTTCACAAACCTTATACAAGTCAAAATCCAAGGATTCATTGGTTTAATGTTCATGGATTCCAAGTTATGTAGATTTTAGCACTTGATTTCTCATTGTTTACAAATCTCTTTGCCTCCGATGCTAATTAGGTCCTCATTCTTATCTCTGCTTTCCGAGTCCAGGTGCTTCAGGCCTGCCAGGGATGTTTGGAATCGATGTTCCATTAATGGCCCTTGATGGCCGATGATGGCTGTTATCTTTTGTGCCTCTTCTCTACTGCTTCCAGTCTGTTGAGATGTTAAGCTCATCAGGCCTCACCTAGTGGGACAATGACCTGCAAACAAACTTTCCCTTCCTCTGGGGCAAAGGTGAACAAACCTGGCTAAAGTTGTAAAATAAAAAAAAAAAATTAACCTTGGTATATTTTGCAACAATATCAGCACAGGTTACTCCTCTGGTTCAGCTGCAGTCTGAGTGCCTGGAGGTCTGCTTTCTCCCCTCTCCCCTGAGCATGCTGTTTTAGAGACAAGCAGTGTCCAGGATACAGTAGCCAGGGTCCAGCACATTGCATAACGTCGTGCCTCTCTGGAACTGCCACATGAGTTTTCCTTCACATATTACGTGACTTTATCAGGATCTCGTAGTTGTTCAGGAGTAAGAGGAAAGATGTGTGCTAATGCCTTTTACAAATTTAATGGGTAAAGGTATGAGTTATAATGTCTTTCAAACGGGGGTCTTACAGTCTCTGTCGAATTCAAGGCAGCAGGCTTATTGCAGAGACCAGACAACTTGGCTCCTGAGATAGACAAGAGTCTGCACAAGCTTAAACGGAATTTTGGGGTAAAATGACAGGCTCAAGCGGGCATATGGGGTAGGCAGTTTGGGAAGGCTGTACCAGGCTGTACCTTCACAGTACCTCAGCCAATGGGGAAATGAAGAGGGAAATGTGTGGCCGGGAGTTTAAGATAAAATGAGGTTGTGCCCTCTGAAATCCTGAGAGAGAAATCCTCACAGGCATGTGCCCCAGAGGACTCTCCACCTTTATTCAAATAAAGTTGCAGGACTCCTCTGTCTACGTTTTGGACATAATCTCTGGTGTTTGTGAATTTTCCTGACACAGGTGAACTTCTAAACCACTGAAGCACAGTAATTCTTCAAAATCTGGCCCATTTTCTCCCACATTTCATGCTGTAAGAGGCCATCTGAAGACCCTCACTCATTTGCCTGCCGATTGCCACGAGCAGGATTTCCCTTCTCCCTCTGCAGTTCCGGCTTGGAGAAGGCAACAGTGCAGGCGCAGCCGCTGTACCGTTACATTGCTGCTCCCAACGAGGCCCGGCAAGAACTTGGCAAGGAGTTGGCAAGGACTTGGCGAAGACACAGAGTGGACCCAGCACGGAGCGGCCTACTGCAATTCCTGCTTCACTCTCCACCTTTAAGCCAAATGAACTGTTGGGGTGACTCTGGTGGTCCCTCACTGAAGACCCCTCATCTGCCTCACTACCACCGTGACAGACAGAGATCAAGAACTCTCTCCCCCAAAGACTGAGACTCCTACCACAAACAGTTGGCGAAGGGAGAGAATGACCTGACCTGTTCTTCTCCAGTAACTTCAATGGACTTATCCTTTATTGTGTTTGTTCAGCCTAGATGATTTTCTGTAAATACACCTGTTCCCCCCACAGCAATTTCAATAGACTCTCATTGTTCTGCCTATTCCCCTCCTTTTCCCTCTGTGGACTATAACTGGACCCCTGGGATAGGTAGAACTTTGGAGACTCTCCCCAACACAACAAGACGGATCCCCATCGTCCGGACCAGTGAGGACTCTGCCTGTGTTGGTAGCTATTCCCATCCCCCCCTTCTCTCTCTCTCTCTCTCTCTCTCTCTATCCTTTTTATTTCTTTTCTGACCCCACTATTGCATTTATTGTTTGGCCCCTAATAAATGTGCATTTGTTGTGATTAAACTGCTGTTTGTCTTTTGCACTTTGGGATCGGCTAACGAACCATCACGACACCCCGCTATAAGCGGATTGTGACACATGCCACTCATGACTATCTACCCATAGGGCAGATGTCTAAATAATCTCCCTAGAAATATCTAAACATGATGTAGAGCACACTGAGACCTGCCAGACTTAGCAACAAGAACATGCTCTTCTTAACCATCCAAAGGGGATTCAGAATTCTCAAAAGATCTTTTAACAGAGGAGTGAAAAGAAAATCATGTCCACCAGTTCCCCCCTGCCAGATCAAGGTTACTATTAATAGAGTCCCAAAAGGAGAGCAGCACTGAATACACATCCCAAATAAGCCTCACTCCCCTTGAAGTTATCATGCCATGAACTGATGTCAGACAGTACAGCAACAGAACAATCCTGATCCCTCTCCCTCCTCTGAAAAATAGCATCAGGAGCACATAAGGGAATATACAAAGGGCTAGGTACAACACCCACATCAACAGACCAAGCAACACTGTGATCAGTGGCTCCCTACCTAATATAGCAAATGCTTAGATTAAATTTGTTTCAAATCCCCTCTGATCTTATCTATAATCTCAATCCTTCCTGCCCCATAGTGGGTGCCACACAAAACTGCTGTGGTTTATGAGTGGCACTGCCCAGTTTAGTGCTCCCACTGAGATGCTTCAAACACACTACCACTTTCTTTGCCACTTGCTTGCTCGCCCACTCCCTCTCTTCTTTCCCCTGGGGCGAGATGGAAAGGGGAATTCGAGGCAAAAAAGGTAAAGCTCACAGGTTGAGATAAGAAAGAAAAATTTACTGGACACAGCAATGAGGTAAAAAAACAAACATTAACCACAACAATGTACAAAAGAGAGAGGGATTCACATGCAAAAATTCTTACTGCAGAGCTCCACCGGCCCCACTGCAACCAGTCCACCCTGACTGGAAGGAACTCCTCCTCTTACCAACGAGATGTGGTTACACAGCTCTTGGTCCTAGCCCCCTCCTCACTACTGCAAGAATGAACCCTGTTCTGGCTCCAGCCAGAATAAATGTTAACTGAGGGTCTCAAAAACTTCACACACAGTGCACATTTTGGTATTATAAACAGTACATATCAATACATATTATTAACAACATATTTTGTGGTGGTATCCCTCAATATCTAAACATATTTCTTCCTGTGAACAGGTATCAATGATGTGATGATGAAGGACACTTGGCATAGTGGCACCCACTGCACTCAGTGTAAACATTTAGATGGTCAAAACTGTGTTTATTTACAAAATATTTAATGTATGACAACTGACTCTTCTAAAATGATATAAAATGTATTTAAGAAAATGATGACATTGCACATTTGTATTAACAGTGAAAGAAGAGGAAGAACACTAAAAAGCTTAACTCAACCCAGCAAATAGTTTCACTGAGGTAAATTTACAAAACAACCAAGTCTTGTTACTGATTAGAGGCAAACAGCAGTTCAAATCTCCAAGCCAAGATGTGACACCTGCAGAAGAGCCAACCACTATTCCTTGATATTTTGAAGTAGCTTTAATAAATGAGACTCAATAACCTGCTGAACTAAAGCAGAGAAAGATATGAGGTTAGTATTTATTTTTTCTGTATTTTCAGTCACACTAGTAGATATCCGCTTGAACTGTGCAATCATTTAATAAAAACCAGACATGTATAAATTAACTCTGTGACTAAATCAGCATTCCTTCAGAAAATAAAAGCCTTAGATAACGAAAAACAATACACCCAGACAGGCAAACAATATTTTTGGGGGTCATCATAATTTTTTTTTATTTGAATAGACTGATAGCACATGAAAAGGAAATTCTTAGCCTACAAAGAGAAAATAGGCGAAAACCTTTATGAGAAAGTTCTCTGAAACACTTGGAAGATTGAGCTCTTGAAGCAGTCTTCTATGTAAAGGCCTGTGAAGTTGTGCTGTGCTGGTTTCAGCTGGGGTAGAGTTAATTTTCTTCTCAGTGGCTGCTATGGGGCTGTGTTTTGGATTTGTGCTGAACACAGAGTTGATAATACAGAGATGTTTTTGTTATTGCTGAGCAGAGCTTGCACAGAGCCAAGGCCTTTTCTGCTTTTGGTACTGCTACACTGGGGAGGGGATTGGGGGTGCTTGGCAGGTTGGGAGGAGACAGAGCCAGGACAGGTGACCCCAGCTGAGCAAAGGGATGTTCCAGACCATGTGACACCATGCTCAGTGTATAGCTTGGGGGAAAGAAGAAGGAAAGGAGGGGACATTTGTGGTGATGTCATTTGTCTTCCCAAGTAACCACATAAACTGAGCATGATGGGGCTCAACTCTCCTGGTTAAACCATGGCACTGGCTCATTCATAAGGACAAGGCTGTACTCGGAGAAGCTACACATAGATTTCTGGGCTTACTTTTGGATTCCATTCATTTCTGTAATGGCAGACATTTCACAGCTTTCAAAATGACACCAGCAATGAGGGAAAAAACCTTGTTGGTTTTTTGCTCTTCTTTGCTTCTGGTTTCCACACCAAGCCAGATAGTATAATTCACTGATAACTGCCTGCCTCCAAGAAAAACTAGAGCTAGAGCTGATCTGAGTGAACAGCGTTTAGCAAACTACATAACATCATGCCAGTCAAGTAGAGTGACAGGCTCAGGCCTTATCTGAGTCATGGCTGCATCAGCCCTATACACCATTATTTGTGTCCAGTGATACAGTGCCGGTCAGGGACATTTTCTTACTAAGTACCTGACTTTCTGAAAGAAGAGTGGAAGCCCCTACCCATTTTGGCCTGATGCATTTAGGATTATTAAGACTTGTAGGACAGGTAATATGTTAAGAGCTGCAAAACCTCTACTAGGCCACTCCAGCAGCTACACAGATGAGGAGCTGCAAAAATTACTATTTTTTCAAAGGGTTTACATTTGCAATACTCACCACTCCGATAGCCCAAGGCTACAGCCAAATCCATGGAATTATAGCCAGCATCTGTCTCAACAGTTGGATCAGCACCACTTTCTATGTAAAACAGGGATAGAATCTTGTATTTCTGACAATGAGAACTGATGATACATTATCAATGATAATTTGGTTTGGTCAGTCTGCTTACCGAGAAGAATTTTTACACATTTCACATGGTTCCCATGTACTGCATATAGCAAGGGTGTCCCTCCATTCTGCAAAAGCGGAGAAATACCTCAGACACTTAATGATCAAGCAGTCCACAACTGTAATTGGAATATGCTTCCATGTACCAGTAAGAGACTTTATAAGTTTTTTAAAAATGAGATTCAATTTTAGATCTTCACAGCTTCCATCATTTTTGTATATTGTTTAAATGCTAAGATCACACTTCTACAAGAAGTCACCATTACTCTCATTTGCTTTCTACCACGAAGTCAGAACTAGTACCATCAACTTCTATCCTATGGAAGTTTTGAAACTCTCAGGTATTTTAGAAGAGGCAGAACAATTTTTAAACTCAGGCCAGTGCTATGTCCTGCTTCAATTTCGTGACCAGAGCACTCCGTGACTAAATTTAAGCTAGAATCTTACCCAGTCATACTCATTGACATCAACTCCACAGTCGAGCAGCATTTTGACAATATCAGTGTATCCTTTACTGCAGGCCAGTGAGAGGGCACTTTCTCGCCCCTTCCCCAGAATCTGAGGATCTGCACCCTGTAATAAAGTACCAATTTAAAAAAATAAGCCAATTTGAGGTTTTACATAGACCTTAACTTTAAAATGTTTAAGCTTGTAGCAGCATTGACAAACTTTGGAATGCAAAACAAACTGAAGAGTAAATGAATTCAAAATCAATTGTGATTTTTTCCTTACATTCTGGAGGAGAAATTCCACTACTGCTATCTGCCCATGAGCTGCAGCCCACATCAGAGGAGTAAATCCTTCTTCATCCTTATGATTGATTAAATTTTCTGTTCAGAAAAAAATATGTAACTTAGTAATACTTTTCTCACTGCACTGTATCAGCTGATGAAATGTGTTGATGGTAACATTTATTCACCAGGAACCAGTGTGACCTGTCATTCTCAATTTTAAAAACAAAATTCTGTCCCAGTGGTGGTGGTGGTTATATCTCGGTCCAAGAGAGAAAAACACATCCAACTGACTGAAGAAAAATTTCAGCCTTTAGTTTAATAATTTAAAATTTCAGCTTTTAACCTCTATAAATCAAACTCTGTTTCTACTCAGAAAATTACAAGTTGCCTGTAATCTGGGCTTCACCTTTGTAAAGAAGGATGTTTGAAAAATAAAGAGGTACATCTTGTATTTTACTGTAGACTGTTCTTTTTCAATAGAGCGAGCCACACAATTTTGTAAAGAATGAACTTGTACAGCAATTCCATTCCCAACGAAATTTGGGTAATCAATAAGATGGTCTGTGAAAATAATTAAGGTCTACATTAAATGCAGTTGGAAGAAGAAAATAACTTCTTTTAACAACTGGCTAACAAATATTTCAGCTTTTTTTTTTTTTATATCTAAGTACTTTATAAATTCCATGCTTATCATAGCACCAAAATAAGCCTTTTTAACTGCTACCAACACTCCAGAATTGATTTGTTTTTCATATACATTGCTCATTACAAAGTATTTAGACTCAGTGACTTATTACCAGTTTTCCAGTAACCATTTCAACAAGGATGCCCTGAAAGCATGGGTGAGTACTATTAGATCAGAAAGAATACACTACTAATGTTACTAAATTCATAAATATGTTAGGGAGAGCTGAAATTTTGTATATGTACTATGGACACACAAATGCCACACTATTCAGAATGTGTATTACTACTAGACTGCAGGTGTAAGTCATGGCTTACATTAGCAACATGCAGGTCTTTCGGCTGATTGATTAAATAGAATTGGAGAGCCACCATTAACAAAGTATGTTTTAAATGATAAAGTAAAAATAAAATGAAATAAATTGCTGTGACAGAACTAACATATTCCTTTCTTAGTACCATGGATTACCTATATAGCTAGAGAACAGGGAGATGAAGGGATTTACCTACTAGTACTAACCTTAATGTTTTAATTTAAAATGCAAATGATACAGTGAGTGAGCAATAGATCGGTACAAAACAACAATACACATCTGCAAAGAATAGATACATCAAATATCCTCCAATTTGTAACAGAATTGAGGACTTTACAGCTTTGGTGAACAGGTCAAATACAACAGCATATAAATGGCCCAAAGAAAAAAAGAAGGCATTTAACCTCCTTCTGTCTCACCTTGTTCAATACGTGTGGCCAGATATAACATTTCTCCCTGAGCAGCCAGCTGATGAACTGATAAAGCTGCAAAAAAGGAAGCAAAAGCATGTGTTACATACACCACTTTTCGTACTGCTCAATTTAGAGCTGAGCATAACATGTCCACTGGCTTCAGCAGTACAAACTTAGAATTGAGAGTATAAATGATTTCACTTTATGCTCTGAACTTAAATCACAATTAAACACTGAAAATTTTCTGTAGAGTTTCATAGGTTTAGGTGATTTTTAAACCAATGCAACAGTCATTCTTGAAAACAAGGATACTTCCTATACTGACTCTTTACAAAATAACATGCTCTCTTCACTGCAGTTTGGTCAGCAACCCAAGATTACTTTAAGACCCATTTGTTAAATTAAAATAAACAAATTTTGGTAAATTAAGTATGTTTAATTTAAAAATCACACTTGAATCATCAGAAGACCTGTCCTACTAGTCAACAAAGAAAGCCTCTAGTGTGACTCTCACTCACTACAATGTGGAATGGATCAGACATTACAAAACTACACACGACTTGATATATAAAGGGGAAAACAAAAGACTGTGGGATTTTTTTGTTATTTCAGAGATTATGAAGAAAAAAACCTCCAATCCCACAGAAAACTGCATGGCTGCATGGTTTTGATAACTCCAATTTGGATCAGGCAAGAGGATAAATGTAATAAATTATCCACATGATGTAGTAACAAAATTAGCTAATAATCACATTAACCGTAAATGTTCACTGTCCTCGTCCAAGTTACTACATGAAACTTGAGTTTCATCTCAGAAAGATGGTGTATTTTGTTCAGTGGCTTACACTGCAGTGCTTGACAATTCAGAAAAAAAATCCCACCAGAAATAATGCTTCCTTGATTTTCAAGATCTGTGACAATCATGACATTTGCAGTATTGTATACTTACATTATATCTTAAGTATCCTGCAGCATTTATCAATCACCTAATTTTAAGATGCACAAGTTTTCAAAACATGGGCATGAAGTACATTAACTTACAACTTAGAATCTAATTTTTAAAATTTAAAATGTATTGGCAAGGGTTTTCCTGTTTTTTTTTTTCTTCTGGAAAATAAACTTCAGTCATCAATTCCATACATTAGGTGGATGACTATTTTATGGTTGGACCCATGGGAAAACAGACAGGACTATCTCAGTGTTTTTTTCCTACCTTTAGGTTCATTGCAACAGCAAAGAAAAAACTGCACAAATTTGTCAAGCATCCAACACAGAGTTCACAAAATAATTATTAATATAAAAGCACAAAGGTACTTACAGTTTACAAGTAGAGGTGTTGTAGAGACTTCATTTCCCCTGTGTTTGTTAGTTAGTGTAGTTGATTGTTTTATTGGTGAGAAATGCTTAGTAGTTGATGGAGTATAAACATGTCTTACTTGGATACCAGGGGAAGGAGAAGCGTGGCTGTTGCATTCAGCTACATTGAACAAAAAACAGAGGATTTCAGTACTAAGAGCATTAAAAACAAGCCATAGATTCTACTTCAAACTGCAAAGCACCAGTATCACAAAACCTTTAAAATCCATGTTAAGAAAGCTTTATGACATGTGCTTTTCCTACTGTGTATTGTGAAAGCTGAATAAAGGGCTGCATTAATTTCTAGCATAAAACAATTATGCTACTTTACATGTTCAATATGGCATAATGTCACCCAAAGGTAAGTTAGTATCTAAATGAGGTAAGCCTTTGTCTAGATTTTTCAACATGCCTGGCATGGATTTATTATGTAAGAAGGCTGTACTTAACTTGTCATCTTCTTATAAACATTCTCCAAGGCAATAACATGATGCAGCTCTGGCCAGACATGCTCTCAGGTACGTGCTCAGCCTTTGCCTGCTCCCTAACCAGTCCACTGCACGAGTGGAGACAACCTTCATTAACCTTCTTCACCAGGGCTCTTCCCACTTCTGGATAAAATTTTAACAGCATTATGAATGCCTGATGAATACTTATCCAGCAGGAAGACAGGTTACACACTAACTTATATAAAATGCAGCAGCAGGTCATTGCTTAGAATTCAGGAAGTCATTCACTACTGATGTGTTCCTTCACATTAACTTTTCCTGCTTTCTCCTAGAAGCTAATGGCATTTTGTTACAGAATATATTTATATGTTGTCTTGGCTTGTAATTCTTAAAAGTAGCTTTTGGTTTTGAGATTAAATACTTAAAAGACATATTGAAGGTTAAACTCCATATTGGCTTAATTGATTTGACACCAGAGTGCATCAGTAATTAATGACCAGAAGCTAATTAACACACACACTGAATTAACACCATAGAGAACTTTGTGATCATAAATGCAACCACAAATTCAGGGAGACTAATTTAAAAAAGTAGAGCGTAACAAGAAACAAAATTATGTTTTGTGTGCCAATCACTGAATTAAGATTACCACAGAATGTACTGAATTAAGATTACCACAGATTTTGACCTGTGGTCCCTGGATTTGCAGCACTACTTCTAAGGGACTTAGAAATGTTACCTAAGAAAAGCTACCCTATTGGCTGATGGGTGTAAATCTGCCACCCAGACCTGCAGCTCTGCTAGTGAGCACTTGGGGCAGAATCAAAAAAGTTTGAAAACTACAGTGGCTGAACTGCAGCCAAATAACACAAGTCAGTGAAACCACTGAAATTCAGAGGAGGCCTGTGTTTGCATTTTTTACAGGAAATAAGTGACATAGACTTCTTGAAAAGATACACCATCAAAGGTCTGAAATATAACAACAAGTGCTAGAAACCACAATTGTTAAGGGGAAGTAGATGGAAGTCCTAATTTTGTCAATATCCTTAGTTGTGAAAAAACATGGATCAATCCCACACCAGTAGTGGTGGGACTAGCTGCAGCGATCCAGCCCTGGAGCAGCATTTTCTTTTGAGTGTGAAGCCACAGTGGCAAGCCCATCGCTAGGACCAGAGGCTTTGTACAGCCACAGTGACAAAACACACGTGGCCTATGTTATCCTTCATCACCCTCATGAAAAGATACAACATGTTGCTGAAAGCTACTGAAGGGTTCATAAAGTGCTTTCAGTAGTGTTTCGTAAAGAAGCATATGTACCATACAGAAGCAGCTTGTTTTCCTAGTTAGCATCAGCTCTTACTAGCTTAAAAGACTTTTTGTGCCTCTTATTTTTCAGTTAATATAAATATCTAATATGCAGTATAAAAATTAATAATGGAGAAAACTTTTATATAAATTATCTATTAAGCATATTACAAAAATGTTAGAGGAACACATCTTAGAAAACTGACCAATACGCATACAATGCAGAAGCTCTTTTTTACAAAACATAATACCATGATGACACAGTACACAGATAATATTTTGTACCATAAATTCAACCTTTAAATAAGACAGATGCAACTTCAAGGTCAGAGTTGACTTGATCTTGAATATTTTTACTGTCTTCCTCATTCAAAGACTTCACAAATCGTGAGCAGACATTCATGTCAAATCTATTGGGCAAAATGAATTTCATCCCCATGGTGACACTCTGAGCTGGGCCTTCCTCTGTGCTGGTGTCAAGCTGATGCTCCACTTTAATGTCTGGCATGGGTGGAAGGCTGTAGCTGGTGGTACATTCTTCCACAATTAACTGGGCCCCGACATCTAAGTTTGTTGAAGATGCCATGATAACAGTCCTGTACAAGCTTCAGGCAAAAAGATGCTTCATTGTTTCCAGCAGGAGCAATTCTGGTCAGCCAAGCCAAAATTTCTGGACAAACTGCAACTGAACAGACATAACACTGGTTAAGAACATTCTGCTAAAACAATGCATTAAAAAATCAAACTTTATTTAAGCTTATGCCATTTAGTTTTCTCAGCCAAAACACCAGTGAAACAGCAACCTTGTTGTTGTCACCAAGTTAGTGACCAAAACCTCCATTTATGCTTCAGCACCTGTGAAAAATGAATATTTTATGATTGGCTTTTTGCAAATATTACAATGACTATTATATGTGTAATGTTAGAAAGTTATGCTGTATTAATTCTCTTAAGTAGTGTGTTAAATATAGTTTTAGGTTCCAACATAATGTTAAAATAGAGACTATATACGTGGGGGGAAGTTTTTTTTTTTAGGAATGAGATACTCCCTTCGAGGAACACCTAAATTTTCCAAAGGAGAGGAATTTATGGCTTCTTATCAGAAGAAACTAATTTCTTCAGGCCTTGCTCAGACTCGAAGATGCCATAGAGATTAAAGGAAACAGCTGACATACAGCAAACAAAGTTTCTTGTTTTAAATAAAATGTATGACAGAGTTTTTTGTTTTAAAGAGAACGCATGGATAACCATGAAGTATATACGAATATGCAACAGCACCTGGATGTTTAAACCAAACTGCATTATTAAGTCAGCAGGAGTATCCGAGTATCCTCCATGTGAAATGATGCTTCAGAATATTTGCCTAGTCGCAACAAAAAACCCCACACGAAACCAGATTTATACCAAGCTAAGAACAAGCTACAATATGACTTTATTTCCCAGAAACATTAGACTTGAGGAAAAAATTAAAGTGATTGTTACAACCTGAGTAAAATAAACTGCTTCTATCACACACGTAAGGAAAAAACAAACAAACAAACAAATCCCTTTTAACGGACAAAGGCAGGCCCAGATTACCCGTGGCTTGCTCACGGTGCCGCGGGAAGTCTGTGGGAAGCTGCGCGCCGCTCTCCCGGGAGCCGCTCCGTGAGGCGAGGCCGGGCCGCCGCTCCGCCGCCGCCGGAAGTAAGTGCAAGTGCGGCCCCGCCGCCGGAAGTAAGTACTCTCCGCCGCCGGAAGTAAGTACTGCTCCGCCGCCGGAAGTAAGTGCTGCCCTGCCGCCGGAAGTAAGTGCTGCCCCGCCGCCGGAAGTGCGGCCCCGCCCCGCCGCCGGCCGCGCTCTGATGACGGCTGCCGGTGCCGCCGCCGCCATCTCGCCTCGTGTGAGTGTGGCGGAGCCCGCCGGCGCTGCCCGAGCTGCTCCCCTGAGCTTCTCCGCCGGAATTCTCCCGCAGCACCCCCGGCCGGCCCGCGCCCCTCCGCCATGGCCGCCTACAAGCCCGTGGTGGTGCCGGCGTGCCCCAAGCTCGGGGAGAAGATCACGCAGGACACGCTCTACTGGCGGGGATACAAGGTAGGGGGAAACGGCCCAGCAGGCGCAGCTACTGCCCCACAATGCCTGCTTTTACTGCTTTCAGGCAATTAGGGTTTTTTTTAAGACGTATAAATTAGTTTCTAAGCTCAGAACACATAATTAATGGGTAAGTTGTAATGCGTGGATTGGAAAAAATTAAAAGAGCAGCCTGTAGGAGTAGCCTGTCAGAAGTAAAACTCACTATTATTGTACCTAAAAAATGTTTTGATTGCAATGGAGTCTTGAGTTCTTTGTAGGAAAAATAGCTTTTATTTTGCTGTTTTCATGCTTGACGGTGTGCTTATGTGTATTTAATGGTCTTTATCGCAACCGTTTTAGACACCTGTTCAGATGAAGGAATTCGGTGCAGTAAGTAAAATTGACTTCTCCCCAGTCCCGCCGTACAACTACGCCGTCACAGCATCCTCGAGGGTAAGTGGCTTTTTTGAGGCTTCTATGCTGCATTCTTCAGCCACTGCCACACCGGAAGATGTAACGCATTCCTGTTTTGCCAGATCCACATCTGTGGCCCTCTTGTTTTGCCAGATCCACATCTATGGGCGTTACTCCCAGGAGCCCATCAGGACGTTCTCTCGCTTCTGGCACGCGGCGTACTGTGCCACCTACAGAGACGACGGGCGCCTGCTGGTCGCCGGCAGCGAGGAGGGCACCATCTCCCTCTTCGACGTCAGCGGCAAAGCAGCGCTGAGGCAGTTCAAGGGTCGCACTAAGTAAGGCAGAATTGGTTTGTTTTGTTTGTGTGTAAGTTTCTTTGCTGTATTTACACACCACAGGCTCATCACGGACCGGATGGTTTCACCTTAAAGGTTGTCTTGTTCCAACCCCTGTGCCACAAGGCAGGAGCACCTGGTGCTAGACCAGGTTGCTCAGAGACCCATGCAGCCTAGCCTTGAACACTGACAGGGGAGGGGCATCCTCATCTTCTCTGGGCAACCCATTCAAGCACCTCAGCAGTATACAGTAGTTATGTTGAATTATAGTCGTATGTCTACTTCACACGTTACTGAAAATCTGAGTAAAACTGATTTATGTTGCTTACGACTGTCTCATGTAGATCTTACTGGAAAGTAGATTTAAGTTAAATTTGAAATGGAAGTGAGTTTAAAAAAAATCTAAATATGAATCAAGTATATAGAAGAGTAAATACATTTTCTCTTTCACATTGGTGTCTCTTAATATGGTGTGTAGATACAATCTTTTGAAATCATTGCATTGATAAGCACATTTTTGATGATGGTAGGAGAAGAGTTCAAAAATACGTCTAAACAAAAACAAAGAAGAAATACGCCAGGAAAAGCAGGAATTCCTTAAAAAGCTCCAGAAACAAAACTGAAAAAGTGTATAATGGTAGCATGGGGTGAGGAAGAAGTTAGGTGTTTGGATGTGTCAGTGAGGAGAAGACAGTGGTAATGCTTCAACAGGCTCCTGTACTATGAAGAATCAATGCATATTTTATCTACATAGAACAACATTTCCCCTTTCAGAATGATCTTGAGCATGTTTCTATTTGAGGTCTGTTTGCAAATTGGGTGTTACATTCTAATGGCTGGATTAACTGCATACCTGTGCACACCTGCATTTGCATACCTGTGTGCTCTGCCAACATCTGTTGGGATATTATGGTGAAAATAAAGACTTCAGTAGTGATTTTAAAGGACAAGAAGTTTGTTCAAACCAGCCATACTTGAAATTAGCTGTTATAAAGTGAGGCTCTGTAAGTTCTGATATTAAACGCTGCGCGTTAGAGAATTTTAATAAACTCTTCATACAGGCTAACTTTCTGAAACATGAATATATTTTAACTTTGGGTATTGTGGACTTTGTTTTCTAGGCCAGTTCATCTAGTGGGATTCCTGTCCGATAAATACCGAGTATTTTCTGGTGGTGATGATTATTCATCAACTTTGTGGGATATTCCAAGTGCCACAGAAATCACCTCTTACAGTGAACATACTGACTATGTGAGATGTGGCTGTGCAAGTAAAGTGAATGCAGATGTCTTCGTAACAGGTTTGGTTTTATTTTTCATTTATACTTCTTTTGGGTTGAATTGAAGAAAAATGCTGAAAGATCATATTTACTGTATTTTAGGGTCATATTTACTGTATTTTAGTCATGAAGGATCAGTCTGCCTGTGCAATGCCTACTTCGTTGTTTCCTCTTTTTTTTTTTCTTACTTTTTAAGCTTGACACTGATGTTCTAGGGGAATCTGCAGGACGTGAGTTTTAACAGCTTTATAGCTTAGTTTATTAGGGTTAATAGAACTTTTGAAAGAAAGTACTGTGAATGTATCCTTTGGCTGGGAGTGACTGAAATGTTGTACCGAGTTTCTGGAGCAGGACACTAGTCTGTACAGCCCATAACTGTCAGAGTCAAAAGGTGAGGTCATGTGGAGGTACTTGGAACCAGTTGCTTTTGGTTTTCCTAGCAGTAGCTTTGTATCAATCTGTGGAAAACTGTGAAAAAAACCTAGTATTCCTTTTTTCACGAAGCACAGGAAGCTAGGTTTCATCAGGGTGCTTGATATTTATTATTATAAATACACTTGATTAGTGGAAGTGAAATGAAAACAAATTACTTTTACAGACTGATGCGTAGTTAGGGCTAGAATTAGAAAATTTGTTGCCCCAAGGCTGTAAGCTAACCAAGGTAAATCACAAGGTAATTTTACAGGTATGATTTAAAACTATTGCTATTAGCCAAGACCTCCTCTAGATGGTAGGACACAGCTGTTTTAATTCCTGGACTAGTTGAAATTATGAAACTGATTTATGCTGGTGTTTGCAGGTTCCTATGATCACACTGTGAAACTGTTTGATGCACGAACAAAGAGTAGTGTCATGACGATAGAACACGGCCATCCTGTGGAGAATGTGCTTCTGTTTCCATCTGGTGGACTTCTAGTATCTGCAGGTAATCCTCTCAAATCAAATACACCAAATATCTATTTGGTAGTACACATTTGAGGAATACTTCAGCTACCAGCTACTTGCTTTTTGTGTGGTGTTTTAGTTTGATAATGAAATGGTAAGTGATGCTATAGTTAGATTTCTCAAATGTCTTCTGTAGGAATCTGTTTTATATGGCAAGTGCAAGTAGGGGTCTTTTTGTCTTTATTTTAAAATTCTTGTAGTTTCCACTTCCCCCCCACCCCCAAAGTAATTTGTAATAACAAAATGCAGACTCTAATTGGCCCACTTCTAAAGTGAAGGAATTAACATACTTAGGTTTTGAAAGGATGGGACTGTCTCTTGTCATGTTGACAAGCTTTTTTAGTCTCTTGTTGCAGTTGCATCAGAGGTACTGTGTTGGGATCCATCCCTGTACTAGGTCACCAATTGACTGAACTGTCAGTTTATCGACCTGCTGTAAGACTTTAATACTTTCTCTCTGTGAGTTCACACAGGCAGCTCCTTGCAACACTGACTCCTTTTCTCTCTCTTCCACATGTCCAGCTGACTTCTACCTGTCCCTATCACGACTGCCTGATCCTTTCTGTCCCTGGCAGCACATACTGACCCTTACTGTCCCTAACATGAACACCTGACCCTTTCTGTCCCTGGCAGCACATACTGACCCAGACTGTCCCTAACATCAACACCTGACCCTTACTCCTCACAGCAGCATAGCCAACTGACTCCAACCCTCTCTCAACCAGCTAATCCACTCTTTTATAACACCCATCCTTATTGAACACAGCTGTGCCCTGTTAAGAGTAGGCCTGTTCCTACTCTTTGGTGATTAGTACAGCGGCAACTCCTCAGGGGTGAGATTGCCTTCAGCACTATCTCTATTCTACCACAATCCAT